ACCTGGGTTTTTTTTCCCATCACCATTTATTCCCTCTATGCCTCTTCCACCTCAACCCACTAGATAGGAGTGTGTCTCTCAAGTAAAGAAGTGTAGGCATTGACAGCCCCCAGGCTGGGGGTTAATGGCATGAAGTTGCTGGGCCCCAGGCTCCTTTTCTCTGGCTGCTGCTTTGTCCTTAGCCTGAAGCTTCCGCTCCACTGCCCAGGCTGCTGCCTAAGCTCCAGGAAGGAGGAGGAAGAGACAGGAAGGGTGCATCCTGCCTTTAAGTTCTCTCCTGGAGTCCCACATGCCCTGCTTTCATGCCACTGGCAAAACTGGGTCCACCCAGTGGGAGGCTGAGAAATGTAGTAGTCGTGTATCACCCCAAAAACCCTATTTTTAAAGAAAAGGGAATATGGATATTGAGTCAACCAGCAGTCTCTGTTATAGACTGGAACTGGCAGTGTGTGGCTAGATTGCAGTACCAGGTCTTCCCAAGCAGGAACGTGCTGAGTCTTTCCACTCATTTAGGTCTTCTGATATCCTTCAATGGAATTTACTATTTCTCCATAGAGATCTTTTTTTTTTTAGATATAATTGCTAAGTACCTAATCATTTTTATTTCTGTTTGTAAATAGTAATTTTTTTGTACTGACATTTTCTAAGTGATCACAGTAGTGTTACTGATACTTTTTTATCTTGTATTCTGTTAATTACCTCTCAGTTTCTGGGTGGACAGTTATTATGTGTGAATAATGAGAGTTCTGTTTCTCCCTTTCCCTCCTTCTGCATTTTCTTTTATGTTTGGTTGGTTTGGGCCTTACTATGTTATGTCTTGTACTGAATGAAAGAGGTGGTAATAGGTATTCATGTCTCTTCATGAATGGGTACTGAGTTTTATCAAATTATTACTATTATTAGTATTATTAGTATTATTGGTACGTGCCCCTAGCCAGAACCAAACCCGGGACTCTCTGGTCTGCAGGCCAATGCTCCAACTGCTGAGCCAAACTGGCCAGGGCTCAGATTATTTTTATGTCTATTGAGTGAGCATTTGGTTTTTCTTCTGTAATCTGTTAATGTGTGAATTACATCACTATATTTTCTAAGATCCTTGAAATAAATCCTAATACAGTACATCATAGCAGATAAGATGATTATTTTTTTAATATTGTTAGAGTTGACTAATATCTTATTTAGGGTTATTGCATTTATTCATAAATGAAAAACAAATTGTTTTATAATTTCCTTTCTCATAATGGCCTTGTCTGGTTTTGGAAAATAAAACAACATTATACTAGCCTCAAAAAATTAAATGGGCAGTTTTCCTTCTTTTTCTGTTCTCTAGAACAATTTGTATAAGATAGAAAGTTATTAAATGTTTCATAGGCTTCACTTGTGGGTAGATTTTTAAATACCATTTCAATTATATTAATAGCTTAAAGTCTACTCAGGTTTTTTATTTCTTTTTGTAACATTTTATTGAAGTATTACATATAGAAAAGAAAACATATAAAAGTAATCATACAAATGTATTTTGTGTTTTATTTATTTTATTCAACATTTATTTAAGAGATGTGTCTGTATTGTTGTATATTATTGTAGTTTGTTCTTTTTTTTTTATCCTCACCAGAGGACATTTTTCCTTTTTTTGTTCAGATAGAGTGGGAGGGAAAGAGAGGGGTAGAGAGAGAGAAATGTCGTACACCCCAACCAGGGCCGGGGACAAACTGCAACCGAGGTACATGCCCTTAGCGGGAACTGAACCTGGGTCTCTCCAGACCACAGGCCAATGCTCTAACCGCTGAGCCAAACCGGCCAGGGCTGTAGTTTGTTCATTTTAACTGCTGTATAATACGATATTATGTGACTGCACCTTAATTTATTCATTCTACTTAATGGACATTTGAGTAGTTTTTAGTCTTTGATTATTGCACACAATGCTGCTGAGAACACTGTAGTCCATGCCTTTGGTGAACATGTGTCTGCATTTCTGTTGTCCAGAAATGGAATTGCTGAGGCATGCACCCGTGTTCAGCTTTAGTAGATGCTCTGGAACAGTTTTCAAAAATGGTGTTATGAATAACTTATTCTTATGATTTTTTAAAAATCTTCATTATATCCATTCCTTACACCTAATATTATCTGTGCTTCTTTGTCTTTTCATCAAGCTTGCTAGATTTATCCTTTTTGTTTGACTTTTTAAACAATGAGCATTGGGTTCTATTGATTCCCTCTATTGTGTCTTTGTTTTCCACTTTATTAATATTTGCTCTCAACATTCTACTTCATCCTTTCTAATTTCTTTGGATTTTTATTTACTTAAACTTCTTAAATTGAATGTACTGTACTTAACTCTTTAATTTGCCATCTTTATTTTCTCTATTTAAGTTCAATATTTTAAAATTATATCAACTTAGTTACATCCCACAAGCTTTGATAGTTAATAGTCCCAATTTTATTAACTTTTAGATATTTTCCAATTTCCATTATGATATTCTCCATTTTTATTTTCAGTTGTGTGAATTCTTACTTTGTATGTTATAACTTTGATAGTGACTAATTTCATTGCATTGTGATCAAACAACATGGTCTGATATTTATGTTTTGGTATTTGTGGACATTTCATATAGGACTTAGTGCACAGTCACTTTTTATAAATATCTTATGTATAATGGAAAAGACTGTATTCTCTAAATATTGAGTGCAGGCTATATATATCCATTCAGACAAATTTATTATGATCTATATAATTTTTGTTGTTGCTTGATTTATCAAGATATGCTAAAAATTAAATATATGTCTGGAATATTTAACTACTCTTGTAGTTCTATTAGTTTTTGCTTACTATATTTTGATGCTGTTATATTCTAGATAAACATCAATGTATTCTACTGATTTTATCCTTAATAATGGCTTTGTTGGCCTTGAGGTCTATTTATTTGACATGAATGTAACAGTATCAGCTTGCTTTGTTTAGTACTTTTCTGATATTTCTTTTCCCATCTCTTTACATCAGCTTGTCTATGTCTGTATATTTTAGATTTGTCTGTTATTGGGGAAGGGGGTAGGATAGGAGAGATTTCAAAATTGAGAATCTCAGCCTTTAATTTCCCTAATTTTTTTCCAAAAAAATTTTATAATCTTTTTTTTTAAAGTTCCAATTTTACAATTGTTTTCAGATTGTTGTAAATTGAGGTTCTTGGGATCAAATCCTCCTGTTTATTATACACACTGACTCTTGCTTGTGATGATTTTTTTCCTCATGGGTTTTGGACTCTGAGTCTTTCCCCACTGCTGTTTTATCTGTAAATCACATGTAATCCCAGGGTAAGAGAGTGTCTCTCCAGGGAAATTTTTATATCTGTTGCTGCTTTTCTCCTTAGTTATATTCATCTCCATTCCAGAACCAATTTTGTAGGTTCTTAGAGCACATGTGTAGTGTAACCTGAACCCCAAATTTCTCACGTCTCAGGCAGGCCACGATTCCTGCTGTCTCCCTGGGGAAGGTCAGGCTTTAGGGTTGTTTTTTTTAATCCTCTCTGTCACTGAGGGTGCTGCCATTACAGGCATAGGTAAGTATGTCTGTAATAAGTAAATAGTGAGCTCAAAGTTACAACCTCTTTCAGACTCAAATAGGTGGTACAACCCAAGAGGTTCTGGGTGAGCAGCAGATGCTTTCTTACACCCCTGTCCTTGGTAGCTTGCTTACCTCCTGCTGCAGTTTTCCAGAGCTTGTTTTGGCACCTTCAGGCCTCTATTTCTTCATTTTATGTTCAGCTATATGTATGAAATATTTTTTATTTTACCTAGCCTTGTTAGACGTTTATAGTAGGAAAAATTGCAGGTTGCCCTAGTCTGTAATTGTTTCTAAATCTAGGGGAAAAAAAAGATTTAAATTGACATTTAGCTTAAAATGTGGTGTTTTTTTGTTTGTTTGTTTGTTTGTTTGTTTTAACATCATGTAGCCCTGGCTGGTTTGGCTCAGCAGTTAGAGTGTTGGCCCGCAGACCAAAGACTCGTGGGTTCAATTCCGGCCAAGAGCAGGTGCCTGGTTGCGGTTCATCCTCAGCCCTGGTTGGGGTCGTGCAGGAGGCAGTCGATCGATGTGTCTCTCTCGTACTGATATTCTCTCTCTCTCTCTCTCTCTCTCTCTCTCTCTCTCTCTTTCTTGCTCTCCCTCTCACTCATTTGCTCTCTCCTTCTCCCAGTCTATCTGAAGATATTTGAAAGAATGTCCTTAGGTGAGGACTAAAAATCAATGAATAAATAAATAACATCATGTAGTGCATCTTTTCTTTTATATGGTGGTTTTCTTTTCATCGATAACATAGAATAAACAAGAAGTGATAGTGTCACCCACCTTAACTCATCCATAGAGCCACTAAGGAGGACAGCTCGGATCCTTACGTCTGAACCTCTCGTCCCTGTGCGTAAGGTTTACCCTCACATTCTGTAGCCTATCCCTTGACCTGGGTTTTGTCTCCACCTGCAGTCTCCCTCCACTGAACATGCTGAGAATTTACTTAAAGGAAGAGAAGCGGGAAGAGAAAGAGAGGGAGGAGGAGTATTTTAAAGAACTGCTGAAGGAAGATCCAGGTTTCTGGTTACCTGTAGTGAATTCGCCTGCTTTCCATGCCTTCTTTTCCGTCACACCTGGAAAGTCCCTGAACTCCTCAGTCAGCAGAGGTGGGACAGCAGATGGGACAGAGTCAGATGGACACAGTGGGGCTGAAGTTAGGAACATCTCTACCTTCAGGAGCCAAATTGCCCAAATAATGTTGGCAGGACTCATCACTTTATTTTCTCTCTGTGGCCCTACTACATTCTACAGATATCATCCTATTGAAGAATGATGCAATTCTTCAGGGTTTGGATTTCTTCCCATACAGCAAATTAGTGTGACATTTTATTTCTCAGTCTATAGATGTGACAACATTGCAAGGGAAAGCTCTCTCAAGCATCATGGTGGTTCTGCCTCTTCTGTGTCTGATCATTGCATATTGATCTCTTTTTAGGGAGGAATGATCAACTGGAATCGTCTTTTCCCTCCTTTACGTCAGCGACAAAATATAAACTATCAAGATGGTCGGCGGTCCGAACCACAAGCATCCCCTCCTCTAGAGGTTTCTGAGGAACAGGTAATCAATAACCTGGTACTTATTCTAAACCAATGCTTCAAACTTCAAGTAGTTCTGGTGAACAAAACTTGAAAGAAACTGAGTATATAAATACAAATATTTTTTTTGCCCTGGCCAGTTTTCTCAATGGTTAGAGTGTCAGCCCAAAGTCCGAAGGGTCTCAGGTTTGATTCCCAGTCAAGGGCACGTGCCTGGGTTGCAGGTTCGATCCTTGCTCTGGTCAGGGTCGTGCAGGAAGCAACCAGTCAATGTGTCTCTCTTACATCAATGTTTTATTTCTCTCCCCCTCCCTCCTTTTCACTCTATCTAAAAATCAGTTGGTTTGGCTCAGCACTTAGAGCTTCAGCCCTTGGACCAAAGAGTCTCAGGTTCAATTCTGGTCAAGGGCACATACCTCGGTTGGGTTCTGGTCCCCAGCCCTGGATGGGGTCATGCGGGAAGCAACCACTCTCTCTCTCTATCTATCTATCTATCTATCTATCTATCTATCTCTCTATCTCTCTATCTCTCTATCTCTATCTCTATCTCTATCTCTATCTCTCTCCACCTCCCACCTCTTCCTCTCCGCACCCCCCCAATCTATCTGAAGATAAATGGAAAAATATCCTTGGGTAAGAATTATTTTTTTAAAAAGTAAAAATCAATGGAAAAATGCCCTCCAATGAGGATTAACAAAAAAATAAATTAAAAAAAAGAAAAAAGATTTATAATAGCAGTGTAACTGCCACCTGTAGCAGTGATAGACACTTTGGGCCTTTACTGGCTACTGTGGGTCTTATGAGTTTGAGGAAGGCATTATTTGAAAACAAATACATTATAATCATTTATTTTAAAATCTATAATACTTCATATAGCCAACTATTGAAGTTGGTTCACTGCTGGGGAGGGAAAGAAGGCGGATGGATGGGGAGGGAGTGGTGCTTTTCTGAGTATCTCTTTTGTATGGTTTTGATTTTAGGAATCTAGTGAATATTTTACATATTCAAAGAGCAAATTGATAGGGACAACAGTAAAACTAAAAAGAAACAGACATGGATGATCCAACTGTATTTTAAATGAATAACATGATCATAGGGAAAGGAAGATAAATTAATTTCAGTAACTTCTGAACATAATATGCCCTCTAAAGACAAAAAGACACTCAGCTATTTGGAGAACAACTTTTATAAGAATGAATCTTCTGTACTTTGTTCCTTTGCAATCTTTCCTAAATATAATTTTAAAGGGTTGTCAAGTCCAGGATAGCAAAGCTATATAATAAAAAGTTATTTCTTTGTACTGGTAAGAGGTGGGAAATATTTCATGAGTGCATTATGCCTAGCTTAAAGCTGCTTAGCACAATATATGTATAAATATTTGTCTTAATGTGAAAATCGACTACATTCTCTAACTCTTTCAAAAACAAGATATGTTGCAAGAACTTTTAGAAATTCAGCTAAATTATCATTGTCTACTAATACAACAAAATTCTTCGTAAACATCTGGATGAAACATTAAAATTTTAGACCAAATCTTTGAAGATATAACTGATCTAAAACCACCTAGTTATTAATGAATAGCTCAGTAATTGGCTGGTTTAGTATCTTTTCTCCAGATTTATGATGTGTGTAGAAGCACCCTTAAAGTTTATTAAATAACACATATCAGTGTTACACTGAATACTATAATTTAATCCATAAGAGACATTCTGTAAATACCTGACCTGTGTTCTTCAACAATACTGATGTCACAAACTGTTCCAGACTGAAGGAGACCAGGGAGGCATGCAAACTAAATATCATGCATGGTCCTGGATGGAATCTGTGCTGGAAAATCAAGGCAGGGAGGGGGGGAGGTTGAAAGGACACTGTAGAGTCAGCTGATGAAAGTGGACTGTAGATTAGTTAATAGTTTTCTATTAATGTTAAGTTTCTAGAAGTTGTTATCTATACTGACTGTAGTTAGGGAAAAGAATATCCTTGTTCTTAGAAAATAAAATGCACAGGGAAATACCAAGGGGTCAAGGGACATGATTTATGCAACTTAGTCTCAATGGCTCAGGAAACACAAGTGTGACAGGTATGTATAGATACAGAGAGAACAACTGTTGCAAAATAACAGTGACTAAGTCTGGATGAAGAGTGATTAGGGGTTTGGGTCCTATTACTGAAAATTTTCTATAAATTTGAAATTATTTCAAGTCATAGTTTTTAAAAAATCTATAAAAATGTAAGTTTACAGCATTACAATAACAACACTTTTACATTTTCTTCTGCATACAATGCTTTCTTATAAAAGCAAATTAAGGTCAGCATTTTGTAGCTGTTCATACCATCCAGGGCACCACCTCCTCCATTCCTGTCCCCAGAGTAAAACGCCATTCAGACCCAAGTCACTCGATCACTGTGGCAAAGCTGTGTCCTGACTTTTTCTGGAACTCAGGAGGGGCCCTCGGGCAGGGCTCCCATTGCCACACTGGATTAGCCACTGTAAATGCTTTTGAAAGAAGCCAATTGATGGTGCCTGATAAACTGATCCAGCCCCTCATCCTTGCAGCTTCTCAGTTCAGACCCATCATTCTGGCAGCTCTAGGATTGAGAGTTGGATTAAGGAGCCATAGTTCATAGTTCTCTTCCACCTCCATTAGAGAATTTCTAGAAAAATGATATTCACACAATAAGAAAATAAAGCCCAATAATCCGGCATTTGTAAGATAGTTATGGTAACATTAAAAAGTAAGCTAATGCTCTCAAATTCAGGTAAAGAGGAATAGAGTTCTGTTCCGTTGCTGTTTACTTCATAGAACCTCAAGGTCCCACTCTTCACAGAGCAGCCGTTAACGATATGAGATATTGAAAGGTGAGATAGTTCTTAGTTTTGTCACTTTGTAAAAAAAAAGTGTCAAAAAGTGATAACAGGTGACTGTGGAATTAAAGGCTTTAAGGTTCATCAATGAATCATTTCTTTGATCCTCCCAGAATGACAACAGTGAGGTTTAACAAGTTGTCAATATCAGTTTAAAACAGCATTGACTTCTTCCTTGCTCTGTTATGAAAAGATGTAACTACATGAAAGTTTGTTTTTAACATATGCTTCCTTATTCATTGATTTTCTAAATCTTGTTTTTTTGTGTTTCTTGATTATCCTGAAAATGGCCATAATAGACTGTCACTGCATGAAGACAGAGTGTTCCCTGGCATTCTATTCTGTAGATGCGGTAGCTCTTTTTATAGGTGCTAGAGAGACTGTAAAAGGTAAAAAAAGATGTTTTTGCCCTTAAGACATTTATAATTAACATTTTGAAATTCATAGTTAATGTAATTTTAGTTTGTTGAGGCTACACATTATCTAAAATAATATTTGTTGGTAACATTAGATAGCTTGAATTAACAAAACATTTTATGCTTAATTTTTTAATTAAATGTGCTATATGTTCTTTATTTAAAATTGGAATCATGTAATTATAATTCATGAAGAAATTTGGTAATTTTCTAAACCAAGAAAAATAGAAATGATTATTTGATTTTTCTGATGTAAATAAATACTTCAGGAATTTTAGTGAGAAATGTTTAAGATAGGAAATGTAGTCCTTCTGTTTTTAAAACAAAGACTATTCTGAGAAAGAATGTGCCTCCCTTATTACATCTAGTAATAGCCTAATATACAGCCACAGAAATTTTTTGTCAACTGTTGTACTTCTGCTGTTGTTCAATTTCTAGATATTAAGTTCAAAGTCCGCTCACTCCTACTATTTTTCAATGAGCAGACCCCCAACCCCTTTGCCTACTCGTCACCCCTTACAGATGATATTCCAGCCCCTTTTAAGAATATACCAAGCTCTGCCCTGGCCAGTTTTGCTCAGTGGTTAGAGCATCTGCCCACAGACCAAGGAGTCACAGGTTCGATTTCATTCAAGGGCATGTACCTTAGTTGCAGTTTGGTCCCCAGCCCTGGTCAGCGTGGTGCGGGAAGCAGCCAATCGATGTGTCTCTCTAACATCAATGTTTCTCTCCCCTCCCCTACTCTGTCTGAAAATAAATGGAAAAATATCCTTGGGTGAAGATTTAAAAAACAACAACAATATACCAAGCTCAAGCACCACCCAATAAACTTTTTTAAATAATCCAATGTAGTCAAATGTCTGCTATCTTAAAAATAAGTATGTGGATAGATAGATATACACACATATTTATATGATTCTATTTTTTCCTCTCTCTTTTTTTTCCTTTATAATGAGGGATTTTTATACTATACCCATATTCAAAATGAACAAATAATAAAATTTTATCATTCTGGCTTCACTATTTTTTTTTAAATCAAAATGACAAAAACTTTTCAAGTCGGTCTCTCTCAACTCCTCCCCAAGCTTAGAAAATGACCTTTTAGTTTCTGCCTAATGGGACACAGGTAAAATTGGACAAGGAAGTTAAACATGACAAAAATCAAAGCTGAGACCTAACAAAAGGAAGATAAACATGGACTGTTACAAATTTTGACTTTCTCTCTTCCATTCATGTCTGCCCTGCCTTTTAGCTAGCCAACAATTATCTACTGCCTGCTCTTCACGGCCTAACCACGGGGCTAGGTTCCTGAAGTACCGAGATAAAGAAGGCAGGTTTCTGCCCTCAGGTGGTGCTGAGGCCAGTGCAGAGAGCCAGGCAGGGAGACACGGTAGTCGACATGGAAGTGTTCCAGTGCTGTTGGAGCAGGATTGCCAGCACTGTGAGGGCTGGGGCAGCAGCCTTTGTGAGGAGGTGGCATGCTGAAAAGCGCATCCCATGTGGGGCAGCACAGGTGGGTGAGGGCGTAGTGGACGGTGACTAGGGGCCAGAGGCACCACCTGGAAAAGGCAGGACAGGCTCCCCAATGGCCTTCGTGGTGTGTCGGCTTCTGCTTATGTGGTAGGCATTAAGGAACTGTGGCAAGGTTTTAAACTGGGAATTACCTCATCGAGCTTCCCTGGAGGATGAACTTGACAAGGAGGAAGGGGCATATTGTAAGCATAACCACGTATGTAATTT